GAGTGGAAAATCCGGTGTTGATATTCACACACAAAAACATCGGTAAGTAACAGACCATCCCCACTCACGTGAGGGGGTTGCCTTAAGTGGCGATTTTAGCACACAAACAACGCATGAGAGGTGTAAGACAAAAAAAACATCAAACGCGACCTTGCTATAACGCGATTGGGCATCAGTAATACCGAGACAGGAGAGAACACCACACAGGGTCTTAACAGCATGGCTATTCGAGGATGTGAAAAGTCCAGAAGAAGGTGCGATCACTGGAACAAGAATTTTTAATATCCTGACGCTTCGGATTCTGTTAAGAATCATGCCACGGCAGGAAACGGCTGGAGTCGTTTACCAGACCTGGTGAAGTTGTGGAAAAAGCAATTACTTCGGAGAAATATGGATATTACTCCGGACACGAATAACCGAGCACGCAGCGGCGGTGAGGAAGAAAGACGTAAACTCCCAAGTTGCAGCTCACTCGACAGGACCCGGCCATATTTTCAAGTTTAACGAGGCCGAACTCCTAGCAAGAGGTGACAACCGCGTGAGCCGCGAGTTGCTCGAGTCATTGTTCTCAGGCCCACGGTCAATCAACAGGGGCAACGAGTTGAGGCTCCCATACTGCGTACTGAGACATTACCTGAGCAGACGAATCAGTCAAGTGGGAAGGGCCAGGCCCCGCAACAACTCCGATGACAGCGAATATAATTTTCGCGTAATTATCAAGCCTACGTATAACACGAATTACGAAATCGAGGCAAGTAAGGACTCGGGAGCTAGCTGCCAAGCCAACACCGCACCAATTATGACCCCAAGCGGTGGTTACAAGAGCTGATAATTACAGTACGCATGCAGGCGGCCGCATGTATCACCTCAATCTGCGTATGCCTCACAGCATTTTACCGTTACCTATGATTAAGAATTCTCGACAGAATCTGAAACGTCAGTTTTCCAGCTTCACTGGTCACTGAGGCGCGTGGATTGCGTACACAGATGCATATAGACATCCTGACAGCCCGCCAAGTTAGGAGTCACGCGCAATTTACTCCGATTAGCCTACACACCAATAATAACCCCGGCCGCATGGTCTCTTTCAGTTATCCGGCAAATCAAAGTAAAGTGGAAATGGGCGCGCCATATTTGAAGTCATGAGTAAAATGCACATTGATTCAGTAGGAGCGGTAGAGGATCACGCCGGGGAAGCCATCCAAGATCACGCTCGTGAAACCAATGAAGATGAACACAGCT